GAAACACAACCCCCTGCCTTCGCGCACACGGGGTTCTTCTCGACCATCTCTCCCCCTTCTTCGCCCTTACCGATGTTACTCATCGTTTCTTTTCGCGTGGCATCACATGGAATTCCTCTCCTCACAGGTCTTCAGAGGAGGAAGGGGACATCCTGGCCCCCCCCCCCCCTTCCTGGAGCGAGCGGCCGCACGTAGAGGTCATGGTCATTCGTTTCGATGATGACGTCGGTCGCAGGGTGTGTCGACGCGGCACCGAGGGAGGCCGCGCCACCTTTCTTCCAACCCTCGTCGGAGGGGGACCCCATCGCCGCCTCGCGTTGTCGCTGCCGCAGCAGACTTTGACTTTTCGTTCCGACGCACTCGAGGCATTTGTAGCCGTTTCGCCGCCGCACCATCTCGCGATCAAAGCGGCCGCATACCACACAGTAGATCTGCGGCGGCCCAACGTTCTGTTGCTGCGCTTGATTCGAACGGAGGAGGTCGAGATCGACCCGGGCGTCGCTCCTCGCGCGGTCGGACCGGCTGCGGTGCAAAATCACATTCGTATCGGTGAAATGCAGCTCCTCGTTTCGCGCCTCACGGTCGCTATCCTCGTCGTAGTGCAGGACCCCATCGACACGGACGCCTTGGTCCGTCATGACGGCGTGGCGGACGAGCTCCTCCAACGTCGGATCCCGCGCAAGATTCGCGGCGTCGCCGGCGACCATCCCCACCGATCGGGGATCCACCCCTGCCCCCACCAATGCACCCCCACCCTTTGGACGATCATCCCTCCCGTTCAGCTCGCGCCCATTCCCCGCATCGGAATCGCTCGTATCGTCGTTGTTTTCCAAATCCACGAGCTTTCCGCGACGGTAGAAGATGGTCCCTATGGTATCGTGAACGATGTCGTTGACGCTAAGCGCTGTGTCGACGTTCGTGCGAAAGTTTCCCGAGTTCGTATCCTTCATATACACGGGCACTGAGGCCATCTCCTCATCGAGTTTACTCCGACTGAAGGCCGCATGATGCAAGAATGCAACCGGTAGCAACTCAAAGCTAATTAGAATTTCCTGTATCACGCTGCTCGTCTTCTCCTTTTCAAGACTGTCCTTTCCTAGGTACAGAAGGCCAGCTGACGCGGCAAGACTGACCGCAACTGATTGCCAATAGCTAAAGAAAATAATGGATTTAATGCAAAGAAACTTTAGAAAGGTCTTTGCGTAGCGCAGCTCCTTTTCGCACTCGACCTCAAATAAGACTAGATAGTATAGGGCCATGGTGAGGCTAATGTTGATTATGATACATGTGTAGGTGTAGACATTGTCGACCTGAAAATGGCCCTCCTCGTAGATGCCGAGCGGGACGGTCACCATCGCAATGAAGGAGCAAACGGGCTTAATTAGGGCACACTGCAAAACCCATCGCTTGCTTCGTAAGTAGAAATCTCTATCAAGAGTGAACGTTGGGAGCCAGCACATGGGGAACGGATGCATGCCCTTATACCGCTTCCGCCTTAGCGACAGTAACAGTTGACCCTCACCACCACAGTACGCAATCATGAGCATAAAAAATATGTACAATACAAAGCTTTCGTACGTATCACGGATGGTGTTAAAAAAGAAACGCCAGCTGCCAAACATCAAAGAAAGGGCAGTGAAGATGGCGTAGATAGGGATCATCAAAAGAATACGCATCTCGAGAACTTGAAGCTTGGGGTAGTCCATCCGGGACAGGTGTGCGTGCAAATCTACGAAGGAGACGACGCAGCTTGCAATGCAAAAAAATATAGCAACATATGCAAGGGAGTTATTGCTAACAAATGTTAAGTCTAGGCCATGGAAATAGATGCCCTCATCGGAAGAATTGCTTCCGTCTTCTGCCATGTAAATGAGCACAGTGCGTGCAGCTCTACCCCCTGGAAAGGTTAGAATTCACAAAATTGACTAAGTGGGACACAATTTTTGTAGTACTGCCGGAAATGAACTGTGATCACAACTGAGCTGAAACCCTTCGAAATCCCCTAGCTACTATTATTGTATATTTGATTATTATCTTAGTGTTTATTATTTCCGTGAATGAGTATGTAAGTGTAATCTATATTGTTGTAAGGCCCTAACAGTTTTAATACGGAGGAAATCAATATTATAAATAAATGGATCCTTCTACGCAAACTTTCCTCTCTCCAGAAAAAAAGAAAGAATAGGTAAATGTGAGGAGATTGACAGCAATTTAAGGCTTGCAACAAAATTATCACCCATCCAAACAAGTACATCATCCTGAAGAAAGATCGTAGAGATTTTTAGTTATCTAATGAAATAAATTCAAAATAAAAACAGTGTTTTCCACTTTTCCTTATAAATCCGAGCCCAAAATTTGCTCCTTGCAGTCGTTTTAGTAGAAGAAGCCGAGCACCTTACCACCAGTATTGCGGGAACGGGCTTCCTCGTGATCCATGATGCCGAGAGACGTGGTCAAAACCAAAAAGCCAAACTGACGAGAGGGCAGGATGAACTTCACCCACCGCTCATACTCCTTAGCATTGCAGTCAAAGCGTGGGCAGATCGCACCGCACTTGTTCAGACGGCCGTTGAGGTTCACGACAATCTTTCCAGAACGGTGATCATCGATGAGCTCAAACTCTCCAATGTAGCCGTGCTTCTGCATCACCTGCAGGAACTTGATGACGACCTTGGATGAGGGGCGAATGAGGACCTGACGCTTGCCACGGCGCTCCGCGCTCGCAATAGTGCGGAGCGCATTAGCCAGAACGCTCATCAACGTCATTTTGGTTGTGTTTAGAACGGAGCAGATATAGGAAAGGAAAAACTTTTTGTTCAAGAAAAGGAGGGACAAAAATAGGGGAATTAAAGTTTTTTATAAAAAACACACTGCAAACTGAGAGGAAAAAGATCTGTGAAAGGACGCAACAGAGCTGATAGTGGCATAAGGGTTTGAAATGATTTTAATTTAGCTTTTTCTTTCCGGGATGATGGTGCATTGGTTCATGCATCGCAGAAAATTCGTAATTCGGGTGAAATGTTATACGTCTCGCCCCCCTTCCCCCCCCCCTAAGCAAGAGGAAGGAGCTCACAAACCACGTAAATACCACTTGGACGAAAAAATGAACAGGGTGAAATATCAAGTAAACATCCAACAGACCATTAGAGTGAGGTCATGTCATTTTCTCACTTATTTTCCTCCCTTTCCCTCCTGCGCCCATCCAATCAAATGAGTTTCCTGTGACAAACAAATCCAGATATCATATCCACCAAGACTATATCCTCTTAGTGTATATCCGTTTTCTCTGCCGTGGATTGAGGCGCTTTTCAGTTGCTGAAACGTATTGGCCTTCGTCGAGTGCCTGAAGTCCATGTACTACAGTCGCAGACGAACCTGAGGTAGACGTCTTAAGCAACTCAATTTTAGCAGCGCGGATGATCTCTGATGTCCGCGACCCCATCCAAACATACCACATCGACTTGAAGTGGGAATGCTCATGCCCGGCATTAAGTGGATGCTTGAAATCGTACCGCCCCTTGGGCACGATGTAGAAAGGCTCAGGACCTAGCTTAGTACAAACCGGGCTCCCCCCCACCGTGTGGCACACCCCATTGGCACCCTCTTGAGGCACCCCGTCGACCACTTCGTCTGCTTGAGATGCTTTCAGGAAGGGCGGCGCCTCAAAACGGGTGATTTGTGCTTTTTTAAGAGCACCGGGGGCCCCGTCCGAATCGGGGTTGCGGTTCCCCCCCCCAGCAGCCTCGAAATGGTCTCGCACCCACGCCCGATACCACGGCTTCGCCGCGATGTAATCCGGGGCCAAGAAAGCCCACGGCCGCTGTCGATTCCCCCGTGTCTCGTCCCGCCCCCGCGCGAGGAACTCAAGCAGGCGAGGGAGATGGTCGTCACTAAATGGGGGGTTTGTGACAAGGAGATCGTACGGGCCAGGCACCGTGTCCCGCGCGATGTCAGCGTAGAAGTCACGGTTTTCATGAAGGGTATGGGGGAGGCCGAGGTCCCGCCAGAGCCCGGGGATGGCCCCGGCACAGTAGTACGGGTCGTAGAGCACGAAACGCTCCGGGGCGGAGGGCCGGGTGAGCCGGCGCAGCTCCTGCACGACGGGCAGGAGATCCCGCAGCGCTTCGATTGTCGTCTCGAAGTGGTCGTTGAAGTTGGCCTTGAAGTTATGGTGGAGGGGCCCTGTGGGTTTACCAGAAGCCCCCGCGCCATGTGGGTTCGAGGGTGGGGAAGGGAACAAGGAAGGGGAGTGGGAGGGAGAGGCTCCACTGATGGAACGCTTGGTCCCTGGGGTGGGCGGTCTGATGCCATCCCTCCTTTCCGCGCTGCGACTCCTCGGTCTTTTGTGGGCGGAAGTTGTCGGCATCGGGGATGGGGTTAAACTTTTATGATAATCGGAAGATCAGTATTCTAGCTTCTGGACTTCAAGGGTTACCCCTTCGAGGTGAAAAAATAGTTTCTTTTTATACGCAATATATATATATATATATTCGAATGCTGTATATGATAGCCTTGGAATGTGAATCACCTGTAAGCACGCAAATAATTATAACAATGATAGTTCGAAAGGTTTTTGCTGCTTTGCAGTGTACACTACAATGTCACACGAACAAATAAAGAATAAAGTGGAGAAGGAAAGCATTGCAAAACTATAAGAGATGGTTTCCGAGCATCTATAATTCTATTAACCTCATGCAACCCTCGATGATATATATATATATACACATATATATTACCGTTCCAGGTTAAGTTTGGAGCTGTCTTTTTGCTAATTTCTCGAACGGAAGACGCTTGTAAACCCAAGTACACTCAAACATATTAATGGAATATTGTGACAGATTCGAATATACAAGCGATAGCCATATCAATATACTCCCACCATGCTAGAAATTCATGCTCAGTTGTTCATTTCTTTTGCTTAAATCCAAAGACTGGCTTTGAGGAAGGCTTTGCTGGGGTTGGCTCAAAGATCACCTCATAGTCATCAATTGTTTCGAACTTCCTTTTGCTAAGGAGATCATGTTGTGCTCTACGTTCTCGCTCCCGTCTCAGCTTTTCTTCCTTTGAGACTAGAAATCGCTCGTAGAGTGTTGGCCCCTTAATCTTTGAGACAATTCTCTGCCGTGCAGCTTGCGGTGGATCCGGGAAATCAAAAAAGTTGCGGAAGGGTTGCCACCGCAGTAGAATGGGCTGCAGCAATCCAACCATGGACAATCCAATCCAGTAGACAAACATAGCCGCCGGCAGCTGGGCGATAAAGTAGAATCCGACAGTCGCTCCAGCCCGCATTCCCCATCGAATGTAGATGCTTGACGAGCTTCGCCCGCCGCGCTGCATGCGCTGATTCAGCTCAAAGTTTCCTAAAAACATGGTAACACAGACGGCGGGAAGGGCGTACGTCGGGTCAGGCAGGGTGAGGTCCGTTACCCACAGGAAAGGAACTGCTTGAAGATCTTCCTCGTAAAGAGCGAGCCGCCGGACTGACAGAAAGGCTGACATCGTGACCGGTGCCGTGAGCATCGTCGCGAAAGTTTTCCACTGCGAACACTTGTGCTTCTTCATTAACGCACTCTTCAATCGGCTATAACCCTCCTTAACTATGCGCTTCTCAGCTGTGGAAAGGGTGCTATCGTTCCTGGCTTTGTTCTGCTGACTCGTTATTTCGGAAAGTTTTGGGCCAATTTGATTCATCCGCAGCGCATTGCGGTGGCTGTACAAAGACGCCGCCAATGTCAGGAAACGCAGAATGGCTCCATAGAACAAAAGTACGTGTCCCCAGCTCTCAAAAGAGTTGAAGCCAAACAGCCCATCGTGGCGCAAACTCCGCATGATGTCAATCTGCTTTTCCACCGGCTGCATAAAGCCCACCGCCCAATCCCAAAAGTCCTCGAGACGCTCAAAGGTGCTCTTTTCTGGGCTGATATAGTCGTCAAACTCCGCCGGCTGGCTCGCGAAGATTTCTGGCAGCTCGTCCTCAAGTTTTGGGATACTGCCGCGCGACTCCACGGTTTGCCCCCACAGTCGAGGATCCCAGTTGAACCCGCGCGTCTGCTGCCCGGCGATGAGCGCCGCAATCACGAGCCTGTTCGACCGCATGAGCGGAGCACGGACGCTACGGCTTAACAGCTGCGCGCGCGCACTGACAAGCATCGAGTGAACTCTTCACCAGATTCACGTAGTAAAGGAAGTAGGAGGGAGACAGATATTCCGAGAAAAAAAGGTCAAAAATGTCCCAGCCTGTAGAATGTAGTACTCCTTTTTTTCTCTATGAAGACCGTAGACGATATCCACCCAAAATGATGCCCATACAGACATAAAACAAAATACAAGGGACAGAGCAGGTTGGTGTATGTTAAGAATAGCACGGCAGAGTGTGGGGGGAAGAAAGGCATAGGACACTAACTCCCCACATTGATATCACTGAATGCAGCATTTTTGTTTTAATGATAGATTAGGTGTATTATATTAACTGTAGAAAATTACAGAGGCACGAAAATAAGGAAAAGACAGACAGTGGGTAATGGGCTTTTCTTTCCCCCAGTATGATACAAAAAAAAAGTATCATCTATTTCACGTAGTTAATTACGTGCGATTACCTCTACGATGAGAATGTTTAGGGGATATTAGCAGACACCCTTGAAGCGTGCGTAGGGGAGATCCGTTTCCTAATACTTCATATTTAAAGAAAAACAACTCGCAACAATAGATAGCCTTAATGCATAAACTACAACACCGTTTGTCGGACTTTCTCGCAAGTAGACAACCTTGTTCCACTTTTGTTGTCTACGTTCTACACTACTGTTTTCATGCACATAGGGGTTAAATATTCATGTGGGGAGACTTCCGAGAGCGCCCACATCCATATTTTAACGCATAAATACAGCCTAAAGTGAAAGAAGAATCTTATTGAATCATTTTTTTAAAAGTACAAAGAACGAACACTTGCCACCTTGCATTTCTTCAGTTTAGTCTTCTTCTTCTTTGTTCATGCCCCAGAATTCGTTTGAAACCTTCGAGTTTCTTCAATTAAGTTTACCCATGCCAAGGGATTCGTGAGTCGATTCGTACAGCTTCGTAACGAGGCCGATTGCGAAGGTTTTTCCGTCCTCACGAAGTATGAAACGACCCATCTTGTCAAAATCTTTATGCGCCTCGCAGACGATAGAGCGGTCCAATTCAATACGCACAATCAGAACGTCTCCTGCCTTCGCGCACACGGGGTTCTTCTCGACT